CAGGTAAGTCTATATACCACCCAGTAACAGTGACTGTCTATATACCACTAGTCTATATACCACTAAGAACAGTAAGACTAAGAACAGGTAAGTCTATATACCACTAAGAACAGGTAAGTCTATATACCACCCAGTAATAGTGACTAAGTCTATATACCACTAAGAACAGGTAAGTCTATATACCACCCAGTAACAGTGACTAGGTCTATATACCACTAAGAACAGGTAAGTCTATATGACAGGTAGGTCTATATCTAACATAGGTCTATATACCACTAAGAACAGGTAAGTCTATATACCACTAAGAACAGGTAAGTCTATATACCACCCAGTAACAGTGACTAGGTCTATATACCACCCAGTAACAGTGACTAGGTCTATATACCACTAAGAACAGGTAAGTCTATATACCACTAAGAACAGGTAAGTCTATATACCACTAAGAACAGGTAAGTCTATAAGTCTATATACCACTCAAGTAACAGTGACTAGGTCTATATACCACTAAGAACAGGTAAGTCTATATACCACCCAGTAACAGTGACTAGGTCTATATACCACTAAGAACAGGTAAGTCTATATACCACCCAGTAACAGTGACTAGGTCTATATACCACTAAGAACAGGTAAGTCTATATACCACTAAGAACAGGTAAGTCTATATACCACTAAGAACAGGTAAGTCTATATACCACTAAGAACAGGTAAGTCTATATACCACCCAGTAACAGTGACTAGGTCTATATACCACTAAGAACAGGTAAGTCTATATACCACTAAGAACAGGTAAGTCGCAATCTCATTTCTATAAATATTGACGTGTACCACGCAGCATCAATGATAAAGACTGAAGTTATATACACTTTTTAATGGTACTGCTCCCTTACAATGACTTATATAATCGACCTCACTGTAAGTACACTTATTATCACAGTCTTCAGTGGGATCTATTTATAACATATCTGTTTGATTTATTGGTATATCTTCTTCAGTGTAATAATTGTTTTAATTAATTGCAAGATTTATGCTCTGACAGTCAACAAAATATACAGTCTAGAACGAATTTCTCTTTTCAATATCTTTAACACATCTATCTGCGCATTTCTTTATTTTTGTCTTTTTAACTACCCAAGTAATAAACATTTATGCATAAAAAGTCCATTTAATGAACATATATTCATCAGACTGAGGTTTGTATTACACGATTTATAACAAAGGTCTGTCATTGTATCAGAGACTTCAAAGTTTGTTCCGTATTTACAGGTAAAGATGTAGAGTTTTTCAACAACATTACAGTAAGTTTACTTATTTAAGTACATACTTTTCGTTTATACCTTTATACATTGCAATCTTGCATGGAAGTATTCTTTCAACTTATTTTCATTGGCATTCGAGATAAAAAAAATCTTTGTCATTGACTCATGTTCGGCTCCTAATAGGTAAACTTTGTAAAGGCTAGTGGTGTGGTCAGTATGTATTCTGGCAGTAATTCATATAGTTCTTGGTTTGTCAGCGTTTCTAAAGAAAACATTTAGTGGTATTTACTGTCAACATATATTATCCAATTATAAACAAACCATTAACATGACAGATGAAGTTCCAAATAGTTAATGTTTTCAAGCCTTGTGTCCATCTTCAGGCGACCGTATTTATGTTATAGATACGTTTCATAGTAAGTAGCTCAATAAATAAATTAATTTGATAAAATTAGTTGAAATTAGTATGACATGGACGCTGGAGATACAGGTTAGCTGGCTTTTATCTACTAACATATTATATTGTTGTTACCAACAGTGTGATTTTGGGGACAAACCTGTACATGTTGTCCTTAGTTCGGACATTAAGTGCCAATATTAAGCACAACCACGTGTTCTATGTCAACTCCGTGTGCTAACACTGCAGATTTACAGTTCGTTCTGATATAATGTACAAGTTGCTCGTTAATTACTCTGTAGACAAGGTGCTTCTTTTCAGAGGAACATGGCGACACCAGTGGATACCCAATTCATGGTGGCGGGAATTGATCTTGGAACAACGTATTCCAGTCATGCATTCTCCTTCAAATCTGACCCGCTTCCAATCCATGCACATGTTTGGTCAGCAGGAAATGAGTTGTCCCACAAAACTTCGTCGGTGATTCTTTTGAATCCAGACAAATCCTTCAACTCATTTGGATTTAACGCAGAAAAAAAATTTACCGATATGGCAGAGGATATGAGGCCAGAGGAGCTAGAGGCATATTATTACATAGACTCCTTCAAAATGGCACTTTATCAAGAAACGGTATGTATATCGATAGCATATATACCTGTGGGTATTTTCAAGTACTTCAAAAAGTAACAACATTTTAGCAGAATGTTAATTCAAATGAAAATTCAAATTCGGTGAAACCAGGCCAAATTTTGAAACAAAGAAAGATTACCGTAAGATAAAAAAGGGCGTTCCGGAAGGGTAAACACCTTCTGCTTAAAAAATGACATCCGCCAAGTTCCCAAATGAGATCAAAGTATACAACAACGGAACTACCAGCCATAATGCGAGCATTTCGACGCAGATCTCGAATCGTAACGGGAAATAAAATATTTGGAACAAACCCTTGAATATTGAATTTTTGATGCATGTTTCAAGACTGTTTTGTCTTCTGTTTGAAATATTCCACAAGATTTTGGATCGTTACTTATTGACTGACCATCCTAAATAAACGATGACTGATTTACCATTTAAATATCACTGTTAATTGCCTCTTGTATTACAATTCTAGGAAAACGACAATGGCGAAGTTCGATCTGGAATTCGACGTAATATGGAAGTCTATGATATTTTTGGAAAACCAATACGTTTAACTTATATCATTGAGAAGTCGATTTGGTATCTCAAAGATCATCTGTTGGAAAGTTTGAATCACCGCGGTTTTCAAACAACCGTTATGGACGTACGATGGGTAATTACGGTACCGGCTGTGTGGACAGACCAGGCGAAACTGATGATGAGGGAATGTGCACATGAGGTAGATACACGGTCGTATTTTTTTTTATCGATGTGATTCATGTGTTAGCATATATCTAATGAATCCTATTTCACACTCTCTGACTGACTGAAGCAGCGTCACATGATTTCAAATGAAACCAAACATCGTATCAACCGACCGCGTAAAAAAGGGGGAACATTATTGGCTAGATGTTAATACAATGGATTTATTTCCCTGAGACAAACGCCTTGAACTAAAAACGGCATCAAACAAATCCAACTCAAAGTCGATGAAACTAGAGTAAAAAGAATTTCTTACAGAGAAATCAATGAAATAGTACAAGAATAATAAGATCATGTGTTCCGCAAGAGTAAACGTCTTCTGCTTCTGCACGTAAATCTAAACCAAAAGTCATTTCAAGCAAACAATGCCGTAATCTTCATATGTGAACCAGATCTCCCAAAAAGAAACAAGCCAACAATCACAAAGTATATACAATTATATATCGCACAAGGGAATATATTTTTATCGAGATAGATGGCTACCAGTAAACAGTCCAATGGTCCTCGTCAGTCTCTTGGACCCCTGTGTTATAGGTTGATTTGTCAGTTGTCGACATCTTTCATGGATTTCCACGTATTTAGAATATCCCCATGACTATTGAATCAACAACGACATGAAGACGTATTAGGTTGGGGAAGGAGGGATGGTACTATCTAGAATTGGAAAGTTAACGATAAAGAAATCGAAATCGTCAGTTCATTAGACAAGTGGAAAATTGTCCCTGTGGTCGCGTTGTAAGTAAACATTCAGGTAAGCGACTGTCGTAGAAGAAAATTCGGTCATGTCCTGGATTTCCAACTGAAGTAGGTTTAAATGATTAGTATAACCAATGGAATTCTTGCTATTAAAAATAATCTTTTTATTTTCAATTGAAATTGAAGGACTTTGCACAATCTTTATGAAAGGTTTTCATAATATCCTCGGTTTGATGTCAACATCGTCGGTGAAAAAGAAAAACAAGCCAGCCAAGATAGGGACACAGTCTGTTTCCATTGGTATGCCAATAAAGTTTGTTAAAATATCTTATCAATAAGATATTGTCAATCAGAAATTTAACTTTTAACATTTAACTTCTGTTCAATCCGGCATGTATCTTTGTTTTATCCATGTATTATTTTGCATTATTTAGGATCATTGAAACGCTGTCCTTACAACTGGTTTTACTCAAGATAGGTTTAATGTATTAAGATTTTGCGTGAGTTGCTTTTTCATATGATATCAATGTTTTTTTTGTGTTTTTTTTTTAAAAATCGTAACGATTCACAGACAAACTAGAATGAGAATCCTGTGACGTGATTCCTGTGTAATATATTAAATAGAAACGAAGATTTTACGTTTCGGTAAATATTGCTGAAAAAGTACCTTTCCAAGATATCTTATTTTTATCTACAGTCGTCTTTAAGAACGTCCATATATAATCTGCAAGTGTCCGGCCTCTTCATTAGTTAATGCCACATCTCATACAGCATAGGTGCATACGCAAAAAAATGTCACATGGGTATGTTGAACGAACACCAATTACACAGCAATCATATGATCGATGTGTATCGACAAATGACGAAACAACTCGGTAATGTTACATTGAAATCATGTCTTCACTCTATATACAATAATATGAATGATAAGCAGGTTTAGACTGAATAGCTTTTTTTTGTGTTTCCTAGGCTGGTATACCCGACAACGCTCTATCTCTAGCATATGAACCGGAAGTGGCGGCGTTGTTCTGCAAACAACTTCCTGGGGATCAAATCACTGGAACAAACGAAAATGTATTCAGAGAGGGCGCAGAGTTCATGGTAGTGGATCTAGGAGGTAGAATTTTATTGTTTTGGAAGAAGATACTCATTCATAACAAAAGCTTGTTTGTTTATCATCCCGTAAGCAGCCAATGTGATTCTGAATGATCAGGTCTCATTGTAGTAGCTTTTGGCTATCTAAAAAAGAACAAGATACGGGGACACATCACATGCTACCAGTGAAATTGCGGCATGGTGTCTTGGTTGTGGAAATAACCACAACAGCACAAGATGGCTCGAACCTGTCCCGGAAGGCTTCAACTACACAAACACCGTACCTAGTTAAATATCACGCCCCTTCAAAACATAATGTAATTCGTGTGTATTGTCTTCCATGTACAAGTACAGGCTCAGTTCTCAATTTTCGATATGTAATAACACAATATTTAGAATTTCATGTTTTTCTTGACAGGGGGAACCACAGATGTCACAGTCCAGCGGATGTTTGGAGACAAAATGGCAAGTGTCTTTGCTGTTAGTGGTGGGCCATGGGGCGGTGCAAAGGTCAACGCTGAATACATTAACTTCTTGATAGAGATTTTTGGAAATGAGGTAATCAGAAGGTTAAAAAGGCATGACATTGGAGGGTTTCTAGAACTTATTAGCGAATTTGAGGTAAAGAAACGAAACACCGATTCAATCCAGCAGAAGAGGGACATAACAATCAGACTCCCTTCAGAGCTTCGTAAAATATACGAAAATTTCAATGAAAGTTGCTTTGAAAATGCTTTCACAGAACATAGCAATGATGTCGCACTGAGAAATGACAAAATGCGTATCAAATTTCGCAAATTCGAAAGTTTCTTTTCGAATACCATCTCGAAAATCATCGAGCATTTGAAATCTTTGATTGAAGAAAAAGATATTCATGTACCTACTATTCTAATGGTTGGTGGGTTTTCAGAATGCAGACTAGTTAGCGATGCAATTACAACAGCATTTCCTAACCACAATGTTATCATTCCTATGGAATGTGACCTGTCTGTCCTCAAGGGAGCAGTTCTGTATGGCCACAGACCTCAGTCAATCACCGCAAGATACTGTCATTACAGTATAGGCATAAGTCTTAATAAACCTTACGACCCAACAGAACATGTTGGAGCTGTCACATTCAAGTCGGGAAAGACGACCAAATGTGGAAAGTGCTTTGAGACATTATTCCGGAAGGGACGCATTGTAGAGGTGGGCGAGAAGGCAACGATCGAGGTCCACAGCGATCACCGAGAAAGCGACAGAGAAATGTGGAAGTATGATGTTAAAGAATGTGAAATTTTCACATCAAATAAAACTTACCCGAAATTCGTCACAGAAGCAGGGTGCAACAGACATGCGATTGTTACGATTCGTCCACCAGATGGGGGCTGGCCGGAAGTAGTCGACGGGAAAATAGAAATGGAGGTTGGTGGAACAGAAGTGATTGTCCGATACATTGATGAGACTACCCAGAGGACAACTACAGTCAAACTTGATAGTTTAACATGTCTTGGAGAATAGGCAAAATCTACAACTAAATCGAATTTTTTTCATTACTGCAACAACGTTATAGTGTGCAGGGCATGCTATAATGTAAACAGTGATATACCTGAAATATCCAAGACACTGTCGTTTTATTGAAAAAAAGTCATTAACTTACTGAATCTTCTACGCATTGTAACCGAGACTGAGTTTCCAGCATGCTACTGTTATACTCTCTTTTAGTCTCTTTGTTACATGATAAATTGGTTCTGTATAAACTTTACTTCCCCGGTAATATTTTTAACTAAAGCCACGGCACAGTGCATGGTCACTTGACCATAGTCACTCCCAAAAAGGTTGTTGGTTTGACGCAAGAATTTAGTTATGGTTGTTACCATGCTTCTGTAAAAAAAAAAAAAAAAAAGAATTTCTAACCCGCGTATGCTTTAATGATTTTCATACATGACCTAATATGCATCAATTTGAGACCCACATCTACCACTGATTTCTTGTATTTTGTTTTGTCACACTCACTGAGTATAGTCGGATATGTTCTCCGCTGGGTGCTCGACGTTTGCAGTAGTCTTCTGACTTAAGCATTATAACAAATGTCAAATACAATTGGAGGGCATTTATATCTGTATGATATATTCAATGTCTTTCTTGGCAATAGATAGTGTATTTTTCTATTTTAATATATCTACCCCCTTTTCTCCCTTAGTTACAGTGTTTAAAGTTATTGAGAGGGGCATTTAAATGGCATTACTTATGTATAATTAATATCAATAAATCACACATTTGGAAATGACGCGTGGGTTGTGAGTTAGTAGTAATTTAAATAAAACTTGTAAATCTTCTTGAAGCAAAATATTTTGCAGACTTTCTCGAAGCCAATAATTTCTAATGTCTAGCATTGTGTGTGTGTTTGTGTGTGTGTGTGTGTGTGTGTGTGTGTGTGTGTGAGGGTGTGTTGTGTGTGTGTGTGTGTGTGTGTGTGTGGGCAGAGAAAAGTTGACATTTCTATCACGTAATTTGATCAAGAAGGAGTTCATAACCTTCGCTGAATGTTTCTTTCATTGTCTTTCTAACAATCCTTCATAAGTGATACCGTGGTTCGGAATATAAACCCTTCTTTGATTTTTTTCAAATTAATCAGAAACATTCAGAATATGTTCAGTTCTAAGCTACGACTCCGTGATTTTGTTATGGTTGACAGAGAGATATATAGCCAGTACAGTTGAGATTTCACATGATAGAGTACATTCTATTCTTACGGAAGATCTTGCAATTAAGCAATGATTCTGTGATAGTCGTCCGTTTTAATTTCATTGTCAGGATTAAAATTTATCATCATCCACTGTATGGTTTAAGTTTCGATGTTTTGAATGTGTTTGATTATAATCATCATTTATGCGGAATCAATCATTTTATATGAAGCAGACTTTAAGAAAACTACTAGTCTTGCATTCAATGACTTAAACTGATTTTGTGAAAACATAATCTCTATAGAAGTTAGATTTCTCTAAATTTTAAGCTTTATTCATTTTACAACAATTACGAAACAAAGTTATATCCACTTGTCATAATCACTCTTGCTGACCCGGACCCCTTACCATTTCACGTCCGTTCCGGGAATCGAACTTCGGAAAGGCGAGTGCGTTACCGCTGCGCCACCGAACAACCGGAGTGTATTTAACACAGGTGGGATTAGATCAGTTTATGAAAGGTATACATACTTACAAATTAATCTAGTGATGTTATGTCATTTTCAAATGCTGCTGTTTTTTTAATCATAAAATCATCAATGGATATAAAAATATATTGAATATTCCAAAGAAGAGAAATATTTTATTGAGCACATTACGCTATGTGATAGAATGTGTTTTAAAGATATTCCCTACTTTAGTGTCAATACGTACTATTTCTGATGATTCTGTCGATATCAGACTAACCTGAGTGTATATATAGAATGTTAATTATGGTAAAATAAAACATCAGTTGATAAGTTTATCTGTTTTTTTATGTATATTGTGTAATTAAAGTAACAAAGAAAAAACCGACATGTTAACAGAACATTAATTGGTACTGAAACGAACAAATGAGGGATTTGTATGACGACCCATTAGAAAGTATAAAAAGAATAAGACCAGGTGTGCCAGAAGAGTTAGTTTCCATTAAAATCTTGGTCGATTTAAGTAAGTAACATCACGCTTCCAAATGGCAACAATGCTGATAACAACAACACCACTAGGCATATCAGCGTGCATCGAAACGTCCAGCTTCATTTTGCTCACGGAAATAACAAAATCCCAACGAGATAATAGTTAAGGCTATAAAACATCATCTTCATTGACTTTCATCTCTTGAAACTCTGTGAGTTCAATTGTCAAATTGAACAAAAACCATGATATTAGGAACAAGACTTTCAATATTTGGTCAACTGCGACATGTTAACACCAAAGGTTTGGGAAGCACAGTCGTTACTATCTAGAAATAAAACAAATTGGAATCTACGGTTTATTATACAGCTTGGTAGAAAGCTGTTGACATCGGGTTGTTTTTAGGAAATGATGGAGGTAAGTGACGACTGAGGAAGAGAATGTCATGTGACTGGTGTCCAACCCTGTTGGGTATATGTATGATATGGACATAGTCAATGCATTTCTTATTATCTACAGACACGACATCAGCAATATATCTAAACGTGGAATTGAATGACTGGGCAAGGCACTCAATCCCGTATAAGAGAGAGACAGAGAGACAGAGGGAGAGAGAGGTAGAGAGAGAGGGAGAGAGAGAGAGAGAGACAGAGACAGAGAGAGAGAGAGAGACACAGAGAGAAAGAGAGAGAGAAAGAGAGAGAGAGAGAGAGGCAGAGACACAGAGACACAGAGAGAGAGAGAGAGAGAGAGAGAGAGAGAGAGAGAGAGAGACAGAGAGAGACAGAGAGAGACAGACAGAGAGAGTGACAGAGAGAGAGGGAGACAGAGAGAGAGACAGAGAGAGACAGAGAGGGAGACAGAGAGGGAGACAGAGAGGGAGACAGAGAGAGAGACAGAGAGACAGAGAGAGAGAGAGGTAGACAGAGAGAGAGAGAGAGGGGGGGACAATTTGTTCCAATATACCAATAGCATGTTGTAATAACACTAAAACCCAAACTCGACGATCAGAAATTCGATGTTATTATTTGCTGGTGCTCCCTTGCAATGGTTTTGTAACTATCCATTCAAATTGAAGCCAATTCAGTAAATCAGAAAATAAATACCCGTAGGTACATACAAGAGAATGATATCTCTCCTTTAACAGTTATAATATAATATATCATATAGAAATACAGAGACGCTCTTTCGTGAACTTTTGTTCATATCATGGTCTTTGTTCTATCCCTCATCACCTCCCTTTCATCTTTGTCCTTTCTCTCCTCACATCCCTTTCATCTTTGTCCTTTCTCTAATCACATCCCTTTCATCTTTGTCCTTTCTCTAATCACATCCCTTTCATCTTTGTCCTTTCTCTCCTCACATCCCTTTCATCTTTGTCCTTTCTCTAATCACATCCCTTTCATCTTTATCCTTTCTCTAATCACATCCCTTTCATCTTTGTTCTCTCTTTCATCATCTCTCTTTCATCTTTGTCCTTCCTCTCCTCACCTCCCTTTCATCTTTGTCCTCTCTTTCATCATCTCTCTTTCATCTTTGTCCTTCCTCTCCTCACATCCCTTTCATCTTTGTTCTCTCTTTTATCACATCGCTTTAATCATTTTTCTCTCTTTCGTCACCCCTTTCACTTTGTACAAAAAGACAAGTTCAATATTTTTCCGGAAGAATATTAACTCGGACGTTAAAATATGTCATTTATGAATCTTATCAATTGAAATGTGTGCTTCATTCATCTCAGAGTTTTCAAAATATACTGTTATTGTCAACGCAAACATATCAATTTAATCGATATTCCATGTCATTGACTTTTAGTCTACTAATATCACAATCGGTTAAATTGAAATGTTCATCTTGTTATGTTCTCATAACGTTAAAACGGACATTTAAAAAAATACTCTCATTGGGGAGTTTTAATTCAAAAACTTATAAATAAGACATTATTTTTTTCTTTTAAATAAATCTTTTCCTTTTTATATATCGTATTTGCACACGAATCGGATTATCTTATCTACCACATGTACTTCTGATTACACTTTATCGAGTTCTAGGAAATGTAAAATAAAGAATTGCTAACACACGAAAACACTCCCACGGTGTGCCTAATTTGTTGGCCCCTGTGCCTTACTAACGACCTCAAACACGATTACGATAGATTATGGTAATCATTGAATCAATGTAACATTCTTACTTGCTGATACCAGTATATATTTTTAATTTCTCATTATTATTAAAATCTAACTAGTGGAAGAGCAGCTTAAAATGTCTGATATCAATGTATTAGTTGTCAAAAGGAGAACCCCATTGTATTCTGATCTATGGCACTACGTGAAGGTTTACTAATTAGGGTTATCTCCCTTCGTACGTAATGGCGATTCAAATATAGCGAAGGAATCTCGATACATAACGACCTTGAAAGGAATCCATACCTTCAGATAAAAAAAAAACACACACACACACACACACACACACACACACAAATTTGTGTTTCGTAACTATTTGAGCATGACATTCTACATTTTAAAAAACTCCTAGCTAGTGTTGTGAACAAGAGCATCATGATGTAGAATTATCATGTAAAATAGGATTAAGGATAATTTACATATACATACATTTTATATATATAGGTTCACATTGAAAAGGAGATTAATTATACTATAAATCTACATCAAGGCTAAAAATAATTATTTTAAAAATCGTTTTTCCCCTCTTTATTTCGTAATCATCAGAGGTACTTGGGAGTGGTACCGCTGTTTAAATATTCACAGCCTGTTAACCTGATCAGGCACGTGGATGGCTTTTAGAAGCGGCTTCAACATTTTGCATGATTTATGCTATTTTCTATAGATATAAGATAAAAAAAACATCAAGATATTATGGTCCGATGTAGCTTATCTAAGACGTCGTTTGGTAAATTAAAAAAGTTTGTAACATTATCATTTTTTGTTAAAGAAGCGAGGTATTTACACTTAAAAGCCCCCTCTACCGGTTTGACAACAACGACAAATAACGCGTTTAAAAATAGGTTCCATTACTAAAAGCAGATTTAACTATGTCATATATGAATATTCGATGTTGTTGCTTTTGTCTAATGAAAGGTTCTTTTGTGGCCTTTATGAAATCGTATATAATTATCTGTAATACATTACAGTACACAATTGTTTTTCCCGAGACACGTTCACCAACAACCCTTTACGCCAACTCTGCAGAACATCAAAGGGATTGTTTTCTATTGTTCAAGATAATTGAGGGGCCCCAAGAAGGGGTACTTGGGGTGGTATACAGGTAAACTCAGGTATATCTGATAAATACTTGTAACAGTTTTTAAGGTAAGTAATAAGAAATTCAGACATAATATAGACTTAATAGATTTGATTTATTTTATTGATATGACATTAATGATAGACCATATGAAGATTACAATTAATAAACAATAATAAGCATATTATCATTTAAATTAAGCGCAGAAATCACTTTTTTATTTTTAGTTTTATAATGTAGCACTAAATTCAACATATACATACTAAACTAAATTTTATCAATTGATTTTCAATTTTCAATATTTGATATACAAGCACTATTTTCATAAATTAAATACCTAACACCACTAATTATTAGAATGCTCATAAACACGTATGTAGCACTAATTAATATTCACATAAAGCACAGAGTCTATTTATCCAAGATGAAGTAGATGTGATGCTGAATCAGCGTAGGTCATCAGGTCAGTGGTTCCGTTTCCGTATCTTTCTTTCAGTGTTGTAAGGCGGGGGTCAATGTTGCAGTACTTCTTCGCACGCGGTCGGGTGGTTCCTCCAGCTTCTCTCTGCATTCTGTTGATGACGTCGGCATTGAATGTCTGTATGATGGCAAATATAGTCGGATGAGCGTGTTTCACCTTCTTCTTTAGTTTCCCGTGCCAGGCTTCTAGGTTGTTTGTTGTTCGTGGTCCATCTGTTTGGAAGTGATTCCACAACGGTCTGTCTCCTTCCACCCACTGCTCTGTAACATAGTCTGTGAAAGGTGTTGTGTTCTGTGGTATTTCAGCGTCTTCTAGGTCTTCTAGTGTCTGTAACCATACGTCTTCTATGCAGTCCATGGGTACCAGTGGTAGAACAGCTGCACGGCGGATAAGGGCCCTAACATCTTCGTTGTCCCGGTATAGAGATTTGCAGTCCAGTTGTCTGTGCTTTTTTCCATACACTCTGGATGAAATGGAAAAAAATAGCCTTTCATGGTGATTCCTGGGAATCTCTGGCGAATGGCGTTGTGTACTGCTACTTCAAAGTCGGCGAATGCATGGGCTGGGGCGAAAGGCAGGTACAGTTGAGTCATGTGTTCCTTGAGTAGGGTAAACAATCGAGTGTAGATTCTTTGACTCTTTCCTGGTAGTAGCGCAAATACGACTGGCGTCATCCTTCCATCAATAACCACATGGATGCTGTAGATCTGATGAAACACGCTCGGGAACGTGTAAAATGTTCCATCACAGTAGAATGTGTCGGCAGTTGAGAGATATCGTAGGTTCTCCGTAGTGGCGAAGGCTATAATTCGGTTCTGCTGGTCTCCGTCGTCAAAACGAAGAAATCTGTCTCCGGTTGATGTTTTTGTCCACTTCCCTTCCAGTCTGATGTCAGAAAGAATCTTTGGTAGCGCTGGGATTTCCTTTCGGCGGGCTCTGTAGAGTGACGACTTGGCTGTATTGAAGGTAGGCAGTCGCTGTACCACCGCTTTGCAGTCTTCATCCCATTCTTCATCTCGGAGCTTGTGGAGTTCTTCTTTGTATATTGCTGGTATGGGTCCGACTTCTTCAAGATATCACTTGGTGATGCTGTTTCTGATCTGCTGTGCTACAACTTCTGCATGATCTGTTGGATGGTTGTGTTCCTGTCTTCCAAAAGCAACTGGTATGTTGTTAAGGGCAGAGAGGGATCCTCGACAAGATTTTTCACCATTTCTGCGTATGATTCTGTAGATGAAACCATTATAGGCTAAATTCTGACCCCCTTTCTTGTAAATTACGAACTTCAAATTCAGCTGTGCGTTTGCCATGTTACTTGATATGAGTGTTTCACTATGAATGTAAAGTATGATGCAGTCGCTGTATTTATACAGAGTGCAGTTGGCTTGGAGTGTTCAGTGTGATAAGTATTCAGGTTATCAGCTTGGACTTCTCATCATCAGTTATAATCTGTGCTACAGTAGTTTAAACAACTAAATGTAACAATAAATGGTGTGAAAGTATGAATATAAAGTATGATGCAGTCGCTGTATTTATACAGAGTGCAGTTGGCTTGGAGTGTTCAGTGTGATAAGTAATAATGTATTTTTTTCTATTGTTAAATAAAATAATTTTCAAATAATTCTTTTTTTTTTTATTGAACAAAATAAATTTCAAATAATTCTTTTTTCTCCTTAAATTTAAATAATATACCATTCAAACAAATCTTTTTTTCCTAACATTTCAATTTAATTCTCAATTCAAAATCTGAAAATATCCCCATTTATGGCTAAATATTATTAAGTCACAGGTAACTACTCCACAGTAGCCCCAGAGCCCCCATGAGGTACCCCAATTTTGTTGACTTAAATGGTAAAAACAACACCAACTGCCATATGTGTTTTTAAGAAAGTTGGCGTAAAGGGAACACACCGCTATAATAATCGTCATGGTGTGTCTAATGGCTATATCAACACCACCGGCAACAACCTGTTAGCATTTATTTACAGATCAACGTTGATTCACTTTTTAACCAAATTATCTAAGCTATCTTATTCATGTATATTATATACTTATCAGATGTCTTATTTCAAATCTTAATATATATTATCCAAAAGTTTATACAATATCTTATATCTTTTACAAGATGTCTTATTGATGACAAATAAGATGTCTTATATCTTTACAATATACATTGCATCCTAATCATGATAAATAATATATCTTATGCAATTTTGGTAAATGCATGACTAACATTGCTCCATACTTCCACAATACCAACGAACTAGTTATGACATTTTCCTTAATGCCAGTGAAATAATGCTCAAGGTTGTTTAAGTTAAACTAAGACATAAGATGTCACCCTTATCTTCTAATGGATGTTTTTCATTCAGTTGTGAATATAGCATATACAGTGATGATCTCAACAACAATTTCACTAAATATTTCATCGTGGATTTCAAAAATCTGTTATTACAACAGACTCACAAAACAAAGCGTTTATTTTCTGAAAATAAGTTTAATTTCAAAAAGATTTTATTGTTACTGAACAAAATTTTCCATGTCCCTTTCCAAATAAAAATCACAGCACAAAAACATGTCTATTTAAAATTAATTGATTAAGGAATAATAGAGACACGGAAATGTAAGTTAGAAGGGTAATTTTCAGTACATGGGAACGGCTTGATTCCATTTCAAACTGTTGGACAGATGTAGATTTATAACTACTGATAGTCATGCACGGTGGCCTGATACAAGTACTTTTGAACAGTAAACGGTCTCAAAGTTGAGGAATGGTTATTTTATAATCCGATTATTTATACAACTTTAAAAAAAGAAAATATAAATATATCAACAGTTTCAGTCCAAACTTCCCATAAAAATAGGACAAAAATGGTCAAAAGAATGATTTACACAGAGACCCCTGAAAATAGTGTAAGGAGAATATACCCATGTGTTCCGAAAGAGTGAGCGTCTTTCGCTTCACCCATACATGTAAAACAACAACAGAACAAGCAGGAATGTTATCGAGCAAGATGTCATCTTCAGCTTTTAACTTCTGTAAGCCCATGCTTTTCAACAATCGCCATAAAACTACATCTCGCATGTGTGGAGGATGATGAATGTATTTCGTTATATGTGTAATGGCTGCATGCATTGTGTGGTCGATTATAATGTTGATTTTCAAGATCATAAAAATAACATATACGAAAGGATATTGTGATATCCATTAGTGAATGCGAGGATGATTGTCGATGTCTTGTGATTTATCACATGGATTGAAAAAAATTAAAAGCTCTTAAGAAAATGTTGACGATAGCTGTGTTAAAATGCGATGACAATCCCGTGCTTTCATATCAATTCATTTCTTTTCAATATCAAACGCTAACTGAAACGAAAGGACGGTAAATTAGTGTACGTGGTTGTATTTTCCAGAAATGGCTGTCTGCTTTGATCTTGTGATATCCGTGGTCGCGTACAGAGTCAAAAAATAATTCATCCAAAAATACAATTTCATTTGAAATAAAGATAAGATGCTACAATAGTAGCAGATTACCGTCATCGACTGGGAAAGTTTTTCATCGGCCGGATATTTGTTCGTTGATGGTTTTTATTTTAAATAATTTGTTTAACTTCCTCCTTATTTTTATTGTATATGCCTAGAATAGCAACTCCAAAAAACGAAGATGCTAGGATGCAAGTGAACAGTTGGATATCGAAATGGTGTAAGACCGAATATTGTTTTGTCAGATCAGGTGAGAATTGACTTAGAAACAATCAGACAGTAACACTGGCATTTTTCTATTACTGGAAGCAGAACTCGTAACTGGTTAACTTTCACGCTAAGAATTCTTACTGGACTCAGGGTATGTGTGGTAGAAAGCAACCTAAAACTAAAAAATAAGGCTTAATAGAATGAAAGAGAGGTTATTTACGCAGTTAATACCATGAGTATTTTCTCTATCCTGTGAATTGCACTGAAATGAAAATGTTTCAACGAGTTACTCCCCTTGAGCATGGATCTGAGCTATAATTCCCTTTGAGTTTTAATACTATCAATTTTTAGTAAACATCTTCACGTTAATAGACCTTTTTCAACATACTGAAGATTGTATCGATATAAATGGTGTGTACAATATACAAGATAGGAGGCTGGTTTTGAAGTGTCCAGGCCTCGAATTTGACATTTTTTGTCACTTGCTGAAAAGAGCAAGTGCCTTAAATTTGTACTTGCTAAAATGACTTTTTACTTGCTATTATCGCAAATCTCCATGTTCAGATAATGTGTTTTGTTTTGTGATCTATAATGTATTAACTTTCTTCATCCAATATATATCAACATTATAGAAGAACTGCTTTGTCCCAATATTTACACTATGAAAATCAAAACAATTTAATTCTGTGAAATGTTAGGAATACACAGGCACTTACAGTTTGCATCTGCTGAATCCACTTGCTGAAAAAAGCTAGTCATTATTTTTTTTACTGGCAATTCTTGGATTTCTACTTGCAAATAGCCAGTAAAAAGCCTTAAATTCAAGGCCTGGTGTCTCACACAGTCAGCTATGACAAGATCTGGTGGAAGTATGTTCCATTCTGGGATAGATCCAGAGAAGGAGTGTTTCCGACAGTCAGTTCTACTGTAAATTATTTGGAAGGAAAAGTGATAAGAGAGTCAAATCTGACGGATCTTTGGTTTTTATTTACAGTAACAAGGTTACATGAAATTTTATACGTTAGAATAAGATGGGCAACATTGCATCTATGGAATAAGTGTGGCCAATGCAGATCTTCTTGTTATGTGGGAATCCCATTTCAGATCTTTTTTGTATTGATACACAAAGTAACTGGCTTTAATGGTATGTTGAAGACAATGGCCATGAAGGTAATATTTATAGTTTATCAATCAGTTTTTTTCAAATAAATAGCTTTTGATATTGTGCAGTATTATACAGTTTACAGTAAAAGTTATATATAAAAAAACAACAACACTACACTAAACTGGTGTGAAACTTGTGATATGGATTCACTTTGACTTATTCAATAAGTTTGAAACAGATGTTATTTATTTGATACATTTTTGTTTTTTCAAAGACAACACTAGCTATATAAACAGTTCAAAGGAGCCAGTTTTGTTTTCAACAAATTTTATCATTATAGTTTGTAATCTGTGGTTTATATAACACTTACGTTGAATGGTGATATCTTCAACTTCCAATATCACCAAAACTTGTAAAAAGTCATTAACACTACTGAGATTGACTGTTTGGGGTTAGTTTGGGGAGTATAATCTAATTTAGATGTTTTTATTGGTTTATTGAGGCTTATTTGCAGGATTCACTCTGGTGTTTACGATTGAATTATTTACATATTGTTTATCCCAGTCTGGACTTCAGATGTTAATCAGGGGGACTGCACTCTTTAACAAATAGAATTAAACAATCTTTCTTTTTAATGATTCTGTATCACTATAAGTAGAATATAAAGCAGAAGCTACACAGCCAATCATTTGTCGGGTATCCAGTGGAGTAGTATTGTTAACCTCTCAGAGTAAAATATCAGGTCACTGCCAGCTAAAACAAAGGTTAAAGGGTCAAAACAAGGGTCATGTGCATTACAACCTTTTTCATGTCATTTTCCTTATACCTACACCTCTTCTTCATAATTCTTGGAGCTGCAACTGGTAGCTTTGTCTGCTAGTAACACTGAGAATGGTTCATTATCCCAGGCTGTACAGACATATGTCATTGTCTAGTTCCAGTATCAAATCATACCTTCCTAAGTTTCTGTTACGTGTGTAATTCCCTTCACAAAAAGCAGTGTTGTATCTTTTTTTTTTTTTTTTTCTTTAAGAAGATGAAGACCTCTGTGACTGTTATAGTAGTAATATCTATCAAAAGGAACACATTGTCTTTATTCTGCTAAGCTTGTTCTAATCACATTTTGAAAATAATCATTAAAAATATTGTCAAAAAGATAGGAAACATAAGATAAATAAGGGATCATTGTTATAAACCTGTTTACAGCTTAAGAAGAACTGCCTTATATTCTAACTTCTTTATAGGTAAGGAAGACATCGCCAATGTACCCGAGGAGAAGTATGATAAAATAAGGTAACATTCTGCCAAAGATCAGTGGAATAAAAAGTAGAAATGGATCACACAGAATTAATTCACCTGAATGTTGGTGGAGTTATGTACACAACGACCAGAGCAACCTTATGTAAGTACCGCGACTCTATGTTAGGGGCCATGTTCATGGGGAGCATGATGTCAACAACAGATCAAAAGGGAAGGCCTTTCATTGACAGAGATGGAGAAATGTTCAAATACATCCTCAACTTCTTACGTTCATCAAAGCTTAGTCTTCCAAATGATTTCAAAGACTTTGATTTACTAGCTGTAGAAGCAGATTTCTATCAGGTACAGCCGCTGATTGAAGCTATCAATATGTTACGAGATGAAAGGCAAAGAGATGATCTCATGACTCACTTCTATGTAGAAGTGATAGAGGTTCGGACAGGCACAACTGCTACAATGCCTTCAAACAACTCCAGGGTGAAAACAGTTCTTGCTGGAAGAAAAGATGTCATTCTTTCTTTGCCTTCAGAATTAGTCGGTGAAGGAGCCTCAGAAAAGTTACAGAAGAATGAAGGGTATGATTATGTTGAGCTTCAACTCAATGGTGCTAACGTGAGACTCAGACTTGCGGAAACATTGAGAAATGGAGGATGGCACATTGTGGATACAAATTTGTCATCGTCTTCTAGTCTTGTCACTTCATTCACAGGAAATACACTATTTATAGAGCAAACCTACCGAGACAGATGGAGGTTGACCTTGCCAAAAATAAAAAAGCTTGCAACATACATGTAGAATTCTGTCTTTTTACTAACATATAGCATACATTTTAAAAAGTATAAACATAAATCTTTATTTTTAGGTTTACCGCTAAATGAGAATAATAATGAAAATTAAATCTCAAGTTCCTTTGTCATAAAGAGGATTTTAGACATTTCAGATTTAATTTTGAAATTTCCTTATTGTTAACATACCAGGTTTCCCCTTTAATTGTATGACTAAAACTTTTTTATCACATTGATATAAATGCTTATTTTTAAAGTTTGTAGTGTTGAAAATACAAAGATTCCATTTTTGCTTTGTGATTGTGAAGATTAACATTTCCAAATTGACTGGCATTACCAATTTGTTATTTTACCTTTAAATTCCTGAAATAAATATATACAGATAAAAATGAACAACTTATACTTAAAAAGTAGCATCAATTCAAAAATATCTCTTGTAATTTTCCATTAATTTATTTAGTGTTTTTAAAGTAGATGTTTGTTGGGTTTTTTCAGACTTTCATTGTTTTGTTTTTCAGATTTGCGTTGTTGTTTTTCAGAGTTTGAATATTTTTTTATCAATGCAAATTGATAGCTTGTTTTGCATATTATTTATTTTTTTGTTTTTAAATTGACACATTACAATGTAGTCTTAGTATACATTTACAAGGACTTTATATCTTGATATTTATAGATTTAGTCACAAAGATGTTTATGTTTTATTGCATGTGCACTTGTTTTCTCCCACACATTGCCTACTTGCCAATTTCTAAATACTTAAGAGAGAATTTCATGTCCTTTGCAGATATTGATTTAAGTATAATTGTAAATGTTAAAAATAATTATTAATTGCTTTCATATGTAAAGGGATTCAGTCATTTTCTTGATTTAGCTTTGGCTAATCTTTGCTAAATTAAAGTTTTATTTCATTTCATTGTAAATGTATACTTATACCAGAATATATCGCACAGCATGATGATATATATACACCTTTGCTTGCCTTCACTATAGTAGTGTGTTGTATCAATCTAAGCTATTAATTACACACATTCCATCCTACCCAGTATATGATATTATGATAGTATGTTTTTGTGTATCACTCTATACTACTACCTTTTCGTGTAAACGTCCACCCTTAGCCACATTTAATTGTATTCATGTTTGCAGCTTAACACGACACAGTGTTGTTTTCACAGCATCGTTGATAAGTCTGAAGAGTGCTGTTTTTTTAAGAGTAAAATGTTTTCTACATATTGCGCATTATTCAGGGTATTTTAGGGAAGGTAATGCTGATATGTTTGAGAAGAAATCACTGTTAGAAAATGATGGATATACATGTTTACATAAGGAAATTTATTTTTAAGCAAATGACATTAAATTACGCTGTAGGTTACTTAATTTATCACACAATTTGTGCTGCCCCCTAGCGGGCTTATTGACATGTACTCGGTACTACTTAATAGTGGATATATTTTGTATTTTATTATCAAATTTGATACTCAATTTACAATATATATCTCAGATTTCAGACTTGAATATGTTTTCTGTGAATTAAGGACTTTAATAGTATCAACACATGTTGTCTGTAATATTTTTCTTGTAATTTGGTGTTGGCTGCAGCATCTCCTGAATGTTTTCTTTTCCTTGCTTGAAATTGCTTTATAGTTTGAGTGAGTCTTGGTAGCTTGCAACTGTATATATACATATATATCACCACTGTATAAGTTGCTCTAGATACACTTCATGGTGAATGGTAATGCATTTGGTTTCACAATATAACTCAGTTATCCAATTAATATTGCATGAACACAATGGGACCTAACATTATTTCAAAATGGGGTTCAGAGAAAAGGTTTAGTAAGAATGTTTTACAGGGACACAGATATTAATTAACATAAAGTATGTCAATATGAATGGTCATTATTTGGTTTGTTATTAAATAAGTGCATTCTCATAAAATGGTCGATTACCATATGATTATGATAAAAAAACATGATTTCAGGATTGTGTTATGCTGTGAAACCATATTGTAAAGTATTGAGTATAGCATGAGATTATAAATATATCATACTTTGATGTTCTTGTTAATACCACATTGTTAAGTATTTAATACTGTAAAACCCTTACATAATCACAGCTTACCCGTCTTGTCTTTGTTCCAAATACAAATTTCATGCATGACTGACTTCTTGTTTCTCTTTTATTTCCTGTTTATTTATTCCACAGTACTGTAATCGACTTGGTAAACACACAATTGGAATGAAAAAGGGAAAGTTCTTCTTTTGCATATTATCAAACACTAATTCTGTCAGTAAAACGAGATGGTCAAAATGTGACAGAACACAAATAACAACAATATGAAATAAAAATGTGTATTCAATATCTATAAGTATAAAAAAAAGCTGTGTTCATTTTTTCATGCATTAATTTCAAAGGAACATGGAACATTTGTTGTTACAAATAACCATGCGTTGTGCTTACCTGTCGAATACAATATAGAAATATCTAGTTTTTCTGTAAAAATGCTTGAAATTGATGGAGAATATATTTGTTTGTTAGCATGAAGCATGCACTGGTAGATGAATCTCTTGCTATTTTAAGCAGCACAGTGCCAAGAAACATTAAACAATTCATCATGTTTATTTTACACTAGATGTATGTACTCATTATTTGCCAATTGCTGTTCGAATTGAAAACATTTTCAAATGCAAGTTTGAAAAAAGAGAACATACTGACATTTTTCTATTTCTTTGACATGGCTCAATAATCTCCTATACAGGGTTGTAGTTTCTTTAAGTAATTTTTTGATGACGTCTGTGAGAATTTTAGGCTATGATTCTATCGAGACATTTTCTGTGAATATCCTATTAATGATGTACATCCAAGCTTCCACCATTTGGTTTCCCTTCACAAGGATATAGAAAAACTTCTGAATACATTGATTTCATAATTCCTATAGTTGCCCAAATAATTTGCTTAATTTCAATGTTCATTCGTTACAGATGCTTTAAAAATCTTGATTCAATCGACAGGCATTTGTATGTGTAGCTCTAGAGCCAGAATCCAACACCAACTACATGTACTAGTTTTTCTAGTAAGGTCCACCAGGAACGTGGACAGTAGTTGCAACAAGACTTCATAAAAAGTTTCAGCAGCACTTTAGTATCAATATATAGTCACCTATACAAATTAGTTTAATGATGGGATACGTTTTATAAATATTCCAAGAGTAACAGACCGTCTCTTAAAACTGCAGGGATTTTTTGTATATGAAATGGTTCACATACTCATTCATGCTTTCTCTTTAATAACCAGAGGGCTGTCTTTATTCACACTTTGACATCGAGTGAAAGTTAACGTTGAAAATACTGAAAGTATTTCATTATCATGTCATTATTGTTATAGGCATTATTAAAGGATGCAAGTGTGAAATGTATTTTTCGGGAGTAGTGCACCTTCCCGTCTAGAATTTGACTTATCTTTCGACCACTTTAGACTTTCCGCAGTCACCTCTCTGGCTTCAAAATCTAAGCCTTTAGCATCACTGACGAGTCCTAGAAGGATGGAACAGCTATATGATGTAACATCACTGACGAGTCCTAGAAGGACAAAACAGCTGTATGATGTAGCATCAGCTATATGATGTAACATCACTGACGAGTCCTAGAAGGACGGAACAGCTGTATGATGTAGCATCAACTGTATGATGTAACATCACTGACGAGTCCTAGAAGGACGGAACAGCTGTATGATGTAGCATCACTGACGAGTCCTAGAAGGATGGAACAGCTATATATGACAGTTTTAATTCATTGTTTGGCACTATTGTATCTAAGCCTGAATTTGTATAGAAAGGTGCTATTCATTTGTATGTCTTTTATACAATCTTTCACCATTTAAATAACAGTATATCCAGTCTATAAGGAAATTCTGATTTACTGAATGCTATCGATAAATGATGCTGTGCCAGTCTATTATAGGATGTGTAAAGATTGTTTACTGCCATTATGGAGACCATTTCACATGACAGAATATGTTGCTTTCCATGTCATTTCACATGACAGATTATGTTGCTTTCCATCTCATTTCAAATGACAGATTACGTTGCTTTCCATCTCATTTCACATGATGGATTATGTTGCTTCTCATGTAATTTCACATGACAGATTATGTTGCTTTTCATGTCATTTCACATGACAGATTATGTTGCTTTCCATCTCATTTCACATGACAGTTTATGTTGCTTTCCATCTCATTTCACATGACAGATTATGTTGTTTTCCATCTCATTTCGTATGATGGATTATGTTGCTTTCCATGTCATTTCACATGACAGATTATGTTGCTTTCCATGTCATTTCACATGACAGATTATGTTGCTTTCCATGTCATTTCACATGATGGATTATGTTGCTTTCCATTTCATTTCACATGATGGATTATGTTGCTTTTCATTTCATTTCACATGACAGATTATGTTGCTTTCCATCTCATTTCACATGATGGATTATGTTGCTTTCCATGTCATTTCACATGATGGATTATGTTGCTTTCCATTTCATTTCACTTGATGGATTATGTTGCTTTTCATGTCATTTCACATGACAGATTATGTTGCTTTCCATCTCATTTCACATGACAGATTATGTTGCTTTCCATGTCATTTCGTATGATGGATTATGTTGCTTTCCATATCATTTCACATGATGGATTATGTTGCTTTCCATGTCATTTCACATGATGGATTATGTTGCTTTCCATGCAGGAAACAGTTGTTTTTTAGAACAGCTGGTTTCGTCTGTGGTGTACATTTACTACAATATGTAGGAGGTCATGATGCACTGTATGTCTCTAATAAATCGAATATTCCGAATGACCACAAGAGTTTAAACTGTGAAGAAGGTTTGGGCAATTTTTCTGCTAAAGGGATTTTGTCTGAGGATGACACATATTGGTATGATAATTACATGTGGATTAAAGGGCAGAACCTAAACTAGGGAATATGGATTAATTTGTAATGCACCATCTTTTAGAAGCCATGGAACAATCAAA